CCTCTGTCATTCCCTCCCTCCCACTCTTCCTCTCCCCTTCCCTCCATTTTTTTCATCTCTCCCTCACTCCCCCCCCCCTCCCTCCCACCCTCCGACCCTCCCTCCCTCCCTCTCATCCTCGAAGGCCCCCCACGAAATCTTTCCCTAAGACGTCACCTCACGGGCTCAGAAACACTTGTGTCCCCGAGGAACCGCTAAGTATATTGACCTAACCGCCACTAAAGTTACGGAGATCGAGGCTAATGAATTATGAAGAATGAGGAATGGGGGAAGGAGGATGACGTTGTGTGAGGAGAGAGAGAGAGGGGGGGGGAGGTAGAGAGAAATTGAGAGAGAGAGAAAGAGAGAGAGAGAGAGCGGTTGTCATGAGGGAATGCGGGACTCTTATGTTGTGAATAAAAGAAAGTTTGGACATGTGGATTATTTAGTTGTTGTTTTTTTGTGAGGAGAGGCGCTCTATTTCTTAACTAAAGAAATGGCTTCAGAGAAAAATAATAACAATAATGACAACAGTGATAATAAATGATAAGGATAATGATGATAACTATAATAATAATATTAATGATGATGATAATAATAATAATAATAATGATAATAATAATCATAATAAAATAATAATAATATTAATAATAATAATAATAATAATCATAATAAAATAATAATAATGATTATGATAAAAATAAATTTGATAATAAAGATAATGATAATAATAATAATGATAATATTTATCATAATAGCAATTATGATGTTGGTAATAGTATTATTATCATTGTAATAATAGTTATAATAATGATAATAATAATAGCAATAATATTAATAATAGTAACAATGATAATAATTAAAAAATAATAATAATAATAGTAATAATAGTGATAAGGATAATGATAAGAGTATTAGCAATAATGATAATGATAATAATATTAATGATAATAATGATAATAGTAGTAATAACAATGATAATAATAATGTTAATAATGATAATGATAATAATGATGTTAGTAATACTACTAATAATAGTAATAATACTAATGATAATTGTTATTATCATTATGATTTGATGGGGATGATTATTCTGATATAGATAATAATGATGATAATAACAACAACAATAATAATGATAATAGTATTAATAGTAATAATAATAATGAAACTAATAGTGTTAATAATGATAATAGTAATAACAAAGATAACAATAATGATGATAATATTAATAACAATAACAATAGCAATTACAAAGATAAAAATAATAGTAATGATAAAAATAATTATGATGATAATGAGGAAAATGATAATGATAATAATAATGATGATAATAGCAATGATGATGACAATCAACAGTAACAATAATAATGATAATAATAAAAACAATAACAACAACAATGATAATAATGATAATAAGGATAGTAGTAGTAGTAGTAGTAGTAATAGTAGTAGTAGGTGTTATAGTAGTAGTAGTAGTAGTAGTGGTAGTAGTGATAATAATAATAATGATAATAATGATAATGATAATAATAACAATAATAATGATAATAATGAAATTGATAACAATAATACTTCTTTAAGTTGATATGATTTTTAAGAAAAATAACATTAATGATAATTATAATAATAACAATAACAATAATAGTAATGAAATTAATAACTATAATACCTCTTAAAGTTAATATGATTTTTAAGAAAAATCTTCACCTTATAAGATTAATTTATTATTCTATTAATTTTCTCACAGACAGCCGTAAGGATATGCTTGACCAAAATATAAAATAAAAATCTTATCATACGTGCTCCAGGTGTATGATTAAGTGGTTCTCAACTTCTCGAACATTGGCTGTTGCAGGCTGAGGCAGGAGATACCCTAGACTGAGCATTTTTTTTTTCTTTTTCGTGTTACGGATTATACTTGAGCGAGTGATACTGCAGTACACCTTTGGTTTAGGTATTTGGGTAAGGGGTAACTACTGACAAAGTGTTTACCTTAATGCATGTGCTTTCGAGCAAGAGTGAGCAATAGGCTGGTGGACTTCGCTTCGGTTTATGTGGTTTATTGTGGCTTTTATTTGAAGTCCGTGAGCAAGCTGAATTAAATTTTATAAGTGTTTTTTTTTTCTTCTTCTTTTTTTGTAATGTTCGTTAAATAGTTTTAAAGGAACTAGTTTTCCATTCCATTTTTTTAGTAACTCTCTATATTTAATGATATTTTACTTGTATTGTTTTATGAACTTTAACTCTTAATTATTCGGTTTATTATAAAAGAAATCAAGTATTCTGTGATATTTCGTTTACTTTCTCAAGTGAATGGTAAATAAACGCTTTGTTTACCTGGAAAGGAATAAACATTAATGAGATTTGCTGATAACCTGTAACCTGGAATAGAAATCATTAATATTCTGCAATTGCCTTGACTCAAATCCTTGCACGCACGCCCTCTCCGTTTTACCATTCTTTTGTCTCGCTGGTTTATACATTTTACACTGCACAGACACACCCCAGCATTTGTACA